CTGCTAAGTGGACAAATTAAAATGAAACCAAAACCTGTCCCAGTCAGGAGCAGTGAGTTTCAGGGGTGGGCAAACTCCACTCTTTCTTAGGACCTCAAATCAAATCGCATCTTTTTAAACTGGAGTCCAGGATTCAGCAAGGAGGGATTCCCCCTTCCAGGCGTGGAGACTGCTGGGAACACATATGCTAGCATGTCATTTGGAGGTCTGCTAATAAGCTGAAGGAGCACAAGACGTTTGCCTGGTTTCCTGAGCCAATAAACAATGCCATTCCAACTCTTGAAGCAGTCAACAGAAAACAGCCCCTTTTCTCCACCATCCAACAATTCAACAAACATTTGTTCCTGTTGAACAACCTTCAGCCAGGCTCCATCTGCACCAACTCCTGCGAGACAAGCACCACGGAGGCGGCGGCGGTGGCGGCGGCACAAATGCCCTGCCCAGGGGCCAACACCGGAATGCAACCCACGCGGGGGCCACTTTCCCAACACCACGGAGTCCGGATTCTACCGTATGGAATACGCAAGAGTGTGGCCTATAGGAGGCAGAATCCTATTCACCAAATGCTGCAAAGAGGTTTTCTTTGTTCGCCTTGGTACTAAGTACAGTACGTGTTAATGAACCCGGCGGTCAGAAGGAGCACGCTTGGCATCAAGCAGCGTCCGAAGGCGACGGTCCAGAGCAAGCCTGCCCACGCAATTCTAGGACCCTGTCCTGCACCCCAAGCATTGTTTCCCTGGTCCGGAGGTGTAAGAGGAGCAACGGGGGATGGGGGTGGGGGTGCCCGAGAAGACACTGAGGGCAACTCAAACCACAGACCTCTTCGGATTCTGGGATTCCAAACCTCTTTCGTCCGGTCCCACCAAGAGAAACCCCTAGTTGGGAACCTGACTTCCACAGACTCGCAAATCAAGACATGGCAAAAAAAAAAAAAAAAAAAATGTGACTAGACTAGTATCCTGTGACGGACGGCCCTCTTCGCCATGTGCAAAAACCACGCCAGTACAGGCGACCCCCACTCGGCAAGCCCTGGCCGCAGCCACGCCACCGGCTTCCCCTCGCGAGGCAAAGCGCCCTCTCACCCCCTTCGCCACCTCTTGGGCCAGTCGGGCAGTTTTGGAGTCGTCCCTGCGCACCCACATCCCGGGGGTGACGGGTGTAAACTTCCGCGAACAAAAGAGTTGTCTGCAAACGATGCAGAACTTCGGGGCTCAGCGCCTTCGCTACTGCCACAAGCCCGGGCTCAAGTTGAGCCTCAGAGGAGGCTGCCCAGGACGCAGCCGTCTCCGCGGCCGGCTGCCCACCCCGCGGAGCACAGACTTTTCTGCAGCTCCAGGTTTGCTCTTCCCCCGCCTGCGCGCTGACAAGTCTCACGCCTGCACCAGGGCAAACGAGACTGGGCGCCAGCAGAAACCACCCGATCCGCCGCCTAACAAGGAGAAAGAGGGGAAGAAAGCCAGCAGCATTGGGGAAGAAAAGAGCGAGCGCAGCGCACGCGAGCCGGGCTTCCCCCACCGGCGCCCGGAGCACGCACCGACCCCGCTCCGGACCAGCCCCC